ATAATTGCTCTAGCACTAGGATTCTCTACGAGGACAGGAATGCCTGCATTGTAACCAGGGTTGAGCGTGGGGTCAGGCGCGCCCGACCTGGGGGGTCGTACTGGGGTAAGACAGAGGGGGGGGGGTCGTGATTAGGAATCGAATTCGTTCGATTGAGGAGATACTACGATTAAGGTGAAGAAGAAAAGCGCTAGTTTAGTGGATATCACGACCTCACCAGTACTGAAGGAATGAACGGTCTTAAGCAGCATACTGATTGATTCCACAATCGAAGTTTCGGCCAGAACTCAAATCTTCATCTTCTACCTTGACATATTATAAATTCATCAAGGAAGCTTGCTGGGTGAAATGGGTATCATTTCCGAGCACGTCAAATTACCTCTATGAGCCCTACAAACCCTTATTTACTGCATTATCTAGTGTTTCTCAACGACTAAAAAGCGTGATTTTCAAACATGATTAACTTGTTTTCAAAAGTGAGGAAAGTCAGTTTTTTTGTACTCGTAACAAAGTATTGTTCCCTACTAGTCTAGGCTAAAAATCGCGCTTTGTATCGCTTGCAAATAGTGGAGTAAGAAATAATGCCAAAATTCCGACCGGCGCGTTTTTCGCCATAACTGCTTCAACTCCACGGATTACCACAAGGCCGAAACAAGTCGAATCAAGTCCAAACACTTACTATGGAATCTTCGAGGGTTGTGCTAGCCATTCGCATAAAACTTGAATAAAAAAGCTTCTTCAATGATAAAGTTAATCGGGCCAGGCGCAACCCCACAAAAGGTCAGGCCGCCTGAGCTTTTGAGGGGTTGCGCCTGACCCGATTAACTTGTTTTCAAAATCTAAAAATTGCTCCATTTCTGCTATGAGTATTGAACTCAAAGCCTCTTCTTGCAATACTGCAAATTTGGAGCCAAACAATACACCCCTGTGGGAATTATAGCTCTAAAAGTAGGGCTATCCAAAATCCAAAACTTGCCGTCAAGTTGCGTGTGCTGTGCAATCGCAGAAAGTCGACCTACAGACCTCCAAAAAACAAGAACCTCCCAAAAACGGCTGATCTCTTCGAATTATCACAGCCTGAGGTCCTGGAGGTGAAGCAGAGGGGTCGTTTAGGGGCTTTCACTGGGGGGGGGGTCGTTTTGGAAAGACTTGTGCCTGACCTCTTGCTCAACCCTGATTGTAACGTTTTTCGATTGTGCGGCCACTATTACAAGCAAGTGCGAGGCTTAACAATGGGGCTACGCTTAGCGTACCTAGCATTAGCCATTGCTTTTATGTATAAGGCAGAAGCGCCGGTACTGGTCAACAACTGAATTGAACATGTTAAACGTTTGAAAACATACGTCGCACATCGACGACAACCTGATTTTTTATACGTCCTTTGAATTTTCGCCCCCGCGTATCCTGCGACGTTGCCTGGATTCCTCCGCTCATCATTCTGAGCAAGTATCGTCCAAGCTAGAGAAAATTCGTTGCAAAAGCACTGAAAGAGAACAAGGTAAGGAAAAATGCACTTTTTAGTACATTTTCATAAAGGAAGCGGCATAAGCAAAGAAGTAAGCTCGGCGAGGTTATCCACATCATAGACATAAATAATACCTATCGAATACACAAAAACGAGTGAAAAGAGCTAAATTGAAAAAAAACAAGAGGTTTTAGAAAATGCCTTTTTTTCCAGATTTCTCGTTCAAATCAAAAAAGGGAGTCTTGCGACGTTGTCAGCGTGAAAACAGAGATCAACAGCTTTGATAAAGTGTGTAGATTGTCGAAATTGGGCTCCAAACAACGAAGAAAAGGGTACCAGAGCCAAATGCCCCGCGCCCCGCATTTGAGGTAGCGAGGTAGCGCGCAACGCGCGAAGACGCAGACGAGCAGCGGAGACAGACCAGGACCGGCGGGACATTTGGCTCTGGTCATTGATTTCGGCGGGGTCATAACGAAACCCAATAACGTTATATATCGTTGTTATCCTCATGAGACGGCCAGGAGCATGACACGCGGGTCTTGAAAATCACTTCATAACGAGATAGACCAGCATTTATGTGGCGACTCTCTGTGCAAGATTTGAGCGCAGTCTCTCGTTTTCATTGAACTCCAGCGGCTTTCATGGACTTTCAACGCTCAATCGCAGTCTAGGGAAGAAACTGAGAAATTTTGTCCTAGTCTTAATTGAAATTTTGAACAAAAACCTTCTTTTCAGCAAAAGGCCACAAAAACGCAATCCTCTGTTTTTTGGGATTCTTTTGTATGTCACTACCATATTTGCCTCATTCACATTCATCCCTATATTTTTATGTTTAGTTATGCCATAATATCCGGGGCGAAGCCCCTGATGACTTCTGTACTTCTCTCCAGGTAAAAGTTGTGTACATGGCTCTATGTATCGATGTATGTATTGTCGTTATTGATGACTGTTGCATTTTGCTCCACACAGACTGAGATGATATGCTTCAGCATCCTTGACGAGCAATTTCCAAGCATAAAGTTACGAGGGAAAACCTTACAAAAATTGGCTTTCATTCCTCAACGTCCAAATTTACCTATTCGCCCGTCGAGTATAAAACCAAGTGGTATCGCAAACCCACCTGCAAAAATTTGGAGCACTATTCGTCTGCGTACCCTTGCAGACAAAAATTCCATAATTACAAACATGTTCAAAACAGCTGCTCGCGTTTCATCTGGTGGCCACAAACGACCGTGCCGTTGTCTTTGGCTCACGGGATTGTTCACTCAAGCGTGTACTGCAGTGGTTTCACCACGATCGCAACTTTGTGGGCAGTAGGACCTGTCCAACTTCTATAGCAGACAGATTTCCTTTTTCCTGCCGTTTATTTTAGTTGACTTTAGCAGGACAGTGCGGCGATACGTACATCGCGCTGGTCTGCAAGAGGCCGTTACAGACCCAAAGCAGCAACTGGTTCGCAACCGTATGTTCGTATCTGTTTGACCCCAAGCTGTGTAATATGCCCGTAATAGCAGAGGGGATGACTGTGTGGTGTCAAGAGTGATCTATCCACATGTTTATCATGTGGCGACACATACATTGGAGACGGCCGCCCTCTTTGTTTCGCCCTTATCAAACATCTAGATGGGTTAAATAAGTCTAAGCCCTCCACACCTTTGGGGCAATATCGCATAGCACGCCTTGAAAACGCTGAAATTGGAGTAAAAATCATGTCGTTTGAGCCCGAAATCCTAGCACGCAAAAGGAAGCGTATTGGATAGCTGCTAAAATCCAGAAATTAACAGAAAAGACTAGTACATCGCGATCATTACCAAACTCACACCTTATCAATCCCTCTATGGATTTACATGAGGTCAGGTCATGTTGGCTTATAAAAGTGAGATTGAGGAACAGCTTGGCATAGGGTGGCCCGTTTTTCAACTACCGCTTGTGCTACATCTAAGGTGAGTAAAAAGTGTTTTTGGCTCTGGTTCTGCTCTCTAGACTAATCTTCTTTTCGATTTTGTTTCGTCTTTGTTCTCGACGTCTGATCGTATATCGTCGAGTCATTCGTAACTTAGTATGCATAGTGCACATTAAGCACGCTAACTGACGAACAGCAAAACTAGAACCTCTTCCAGTGACAATTTTTCCAAGAGATTTCCTGTGTCAGATTTTCCGTTCACAAAACCGTGCACATTTAGAGACTGCTTTGATATTACCTATCACAATAAAGTTGAGCAAGTGAGTAAGTGACACACCTGTACCTCTCCGAATTGACTAAGCCACATTAACTTCTTTTGCCATGCTGAGAATCTTAAAAAACATAACCTAGGGGTACAAAGGAACTGTGAGGCCGATTTCCGGCATGAGATTACTTCGAAAAATTATGATGAGGCACGCTGAGGGCTCAATGAGCAAAATAACAAAGAAAAGAGACGAAACGGCCGAGAAAATACAGAACCGGCGCCGGTGCCATCGATCGAGGCCTGGCAAAATGCCCGGGCGCGTGCGGTCGCGCGGGTCCGGCGCCGCTGGTGCAAACGACTCTGCAATTTGGAGCCCTGTATAGGGTCTTTTCTCATCGCGTACGGAACTTGTTGGATTTCAGATGGGTGGCGGAATGGAGTCGGATGGAAACACGCGAACATCAACGAACACAAACATTTATATCATGTCTTCATCACTGTATCACTCACACACTTATTGTTTTCAAATCAAAAACTTGTCACTTACCCAAACTCTATATCAGAATGAAGAATTTGATAAGTGCTGCAAAAAATCCTTATGATTCTCAACGTAAAAACCTAATAAAGCTTGCACAAAGTAATGTACTCGGTTTGAAATATTGATTCTTCAGAGTGTTGATTCACCGCTGAACTGCAAGAACTTTGTATTGTCATGTCCAGGTAAGCCTCCTGATACAGCAACTTATGTTGCTCCAACGATGATTCTTAGCCCATGGTCGACCATCAGGACGTCATTATGGAAAAAATATCAAAAAGAAGGAACCTGAGTGTGACAGATTTAGCAAACAATAGCCAAACTCGAACCATAAAAGAACGCAGGCATCAGAAGACATGAGGAAATTAGTGTTTGAAAAGTGCGATAAGGAGATGAAAATAGAGCAGATAAAAAGGTCTGGCGTACAAGGCGGGGGAATGTGACTTCCTGATGAGGGTAGAAAGTAAAATGCATTTTTATCGATATGTTGATCAGTTACATATACTTCTTTGTAGATATAGAAACGCTACACTCGGCGGCGTCAACGTCGCCCTGGAAGAAACTTTATCGAAAGGAATGGCGAATATGACTGAGGCAGATGCTAAAAATGCGCGAGCATTAGGCCCGGAGGTCTGCTTCGCCGCCCTCCGGGTTGCTGCGTAAGTAAAACAACGTTCTTTGTGAGCTGCACATAAACGAAGAGCTCTAGGCTCCAGCCCCTTCCAAAATTTCTGTAGGACTCAGTGGATCTTAGGAAAGTAAGGAGCTGCCGAGGCAATTATCTACAGTGAGTCAATTTCTAGCTCCGCTACGAGTTCCTCAGCTTCTCATAATGTCCTATGTACAGTTTGACAGACAGCGAAACGATGTCGACGAAACCCCTAGGAAGCGCTGTCGTCGGTCCAATGCCCAACAGGAAATGAAATATATACGAGTGAGTTCAAAGTTCATCTGCAACTTTCTTACCTAGTTTGCAGGCCAAGCGGATTTATCTTAAGAAGAAATACGCGATTTTGAGCAAGTCGACGATGGATCCCATCAACATCAACATGCAACCATTCGGCCCCCTACCCACACAACAACGGACAAAAGTTGATGACAACATCAAGGAGTTCCGCGCTTGCACTGCCTATCTTTTTATGTTGTTATCAATAACAGTACTGATCATACTGATGCAATTAACCTTGTTCTCAACCCCTACGCTCCAATTGTCGATGCTCTCCTCGGCCATTAAAGGCTTGAGCAGGTTGCATAGTCGCCGCAAGTGAACTTCCCTCATCCAGAACTTCTTCAAATAAGAACTTGATTTGAGCTGAAGAGGCAGAGAGGATGAAGGTATCTTAGCGAATGTTTCAAAGCCTCAATCGGCGTAGCATACACTAGAATCGGAAGCTGTCTCTTCAACAAAATTGGTATTACTCCAAATTCATTTTTATGCAGTTCGCGATGGTAAAGTTTCTCAAAAGAAGAATCTTTACACAACAATTCAATGAAATAAACAAGGAAAGCAAAGAAAAATTAGCGAGGCTGTTCTGGACAGGATACTCTGAAGTCCAAGGTTTGCCACAGTTGGCATCGATCATGCCCAAGCACAGGTTTCGGATATTCAGCCATACTCTACCACTGTTTTTCTAAATGGAAGCATATACATGTGGTCGGTTTGTGCGGCGGTGCTCGAAGTCGATGGATTGAAGATTAAGTGCGCATGGTGTAAAAATTTTGCAGTGGTTCGGATTCAGGCATACCTGTACTACATGCTTGGTACGTGCGAAGCATGTACGTGTGGTATCGGTTAGTGCGCCGGCGCTCGAAGTCGATGCATAGAAGTTCGAGTGCACTCGATGGGAGAGTTTTGCGCCGCTCTGTCTGTGGTCAGTCCGCGAGCTGCCGCTGGAGTTGGCAACTTCCCGCAATGTGTGCCACCTTGCCGGCATCTTTGATGCCACAAGGTGTAGTAGATTTTAACCGGCATCGGTGTCTAAACACAATCATATGGGATGAAGATCTGCGATGCTATGAGTGGTTGCTTCATTTTTAGCACAAAAATTTTTGTTGGAAGTGCTACAAGAAAACTAAAGCTTTGTGACGTGTAACATAGAAAACGCAGAGAGTACAAGAATGCCCTAGGTTTTGAGAGGATACCATCGTAGCCATTCTACAACAAATCGGGTTTGAATGGCGGAGACATGGCCGGGTAGGTATAGCTAAGTTGTTCCCTGTTTGTACAAATTTGTCTGTCACGAATTTTGCAAATAAGTGCTAGCCAAGAAATTGAGCCCAATTTTTGCTTAGCTGATGCAACCAGCATGCACGTCCAACATTTGCATGAGCGGATCCGTTGAGCAGAGCTTCTAAAAATCGTCCACAAAGAGATTCCATATGACCACTGGTCTAGATCCGTATGACTACCTTTTGCAAAGTTATGGACTTTTTTGATAAATAGATGTGCAAACCATGACTTCCCAAAATGTGAGCGAAAATTTATATTTGTGCAAAATCGGCACCAAAAAGGAATGATTGCGTAGATGATTTGCCAAGCTGATTTGAGAATTCTTGTTCTCGTTTGAAATGTGGCTTATGGTGGTTCTTTGGCGACCATCATGCCATATTAGGCTCAGTAGCTGGCTCATACTCGCATTTGTTTTTCTCTAGGAAAATTCTTTTCCTGTCAAAGTCACCCAACTCACATGAAGTAAAGTATGGATTGAGTAGTTATTTGCAGTTCACCTGCGATGGCCAGAGAGATGAAGCACTGATAAACTATGAACATGACGATGCAACAATGCACATTGTTCTATCGTGTATATGAAATCATGTATACTGCTAGTGATGGCATGGCAATATTGTATACGGTAGATAAAGACACTAGCAAAATACCGAAATGTCATAGATAAGTAAAGACTACTGCATGATGAAGCCAGCACAGCATTATTTGAGCGGGCTCGAAGGCTGCGCGCGCGTATTCTCACCGTTGTAAATCCTGAGGCTAATGAAGCCTCGTTTACTCCCAAAGAAATTTCGCTTTCGTTGTGCAGCAGCCTATACTCTACAACTTGTCTTCGCATCATACAATCCAAAAACTTAGTAAATTGATAAGCAAACTTATCAAAAATAACAAATATGTATGGGTGACTCTACGTCTTCCTTATGAGAATTCCGTGGAGAGTCAGAACTCACAACAAACCGTTTGAGGAGAAAACAAAACGAAGAATGATGTTTGAAGTTCTTGCAAAAAAATTTCGGAAATGGCTTTGGTTTCAATCTAGATTACACTTCGAAACCTCATTTCAAATTTATTTGAATGATTATTTTGCTTCACCATCAATTTTCAATGACGAAATGCGCATAGAGGAAACCCATGTTTTCCACCAAATTCTCAAAAAATCATGAGATCTTATGCTACAACATTTGTTTGGATATTCATTTATCTAGAATAAATGATCTAAAAGCTAATAATCAACGTATTAATGTTAATTGGTCATATGACCTATATTCATACCATTCTTTAAACGCTCTTCACGAATAAAATCAAGTACATCCCTGCGGGTGATCCAATTAGATATTGTTCAACACCGACGGGGGCTGTTTCGTACAATAAAGGGACCCTACAATAACGGACTTTCACAAAGGCACGCGCCATACTTAATCCACTTGATCCGCTTCACAATTGGTAAGCAGTGAAATGACCAATAGCAAAGTGGATGAAGCGGATCAAACGAATTAAGCGGATCAAGCGTGGCGCGTGCCTAAGCCAAAACTCATTGTGCGCAACTATCGCACTATTACTTACATTGTGTCTCTGGTAACATAAAAGTGTCGCAACTTTGAAGAGTCAGGTTATGTTTTTCACAGCACTTTCAGTACTGATAGTGAGCTTTCTAATCTTTCTTTTTTGAGATTTCAAACTACATATTTTAAAGGCCACTGGACTCGCTGCAGACATAGTGGAACTGACGCAGTCACTAAGACAGCTTTCTTCTGGATCTGTCAGTGTAATTAAAGAGGATTATCCACCATGTCGTACGAAAATGAAATGTGTTTGCAAAAAATAGAAGATGATACTGATTTATAGAGTTCAAAGTATGCTTTCAACGTGCGTCAGATTCTTACGAGGCTCTGGTTGAAACAGCAGGAGAAGCTGTGTGTGAAGGACTGAGGAATCTTGGTAATCACAATGCGGTAAGATCGGAACTACGCATTTGTACAGGCTTCTCGTTTCATTAATTTTCGCTTTTAGAAGTATGAGTGCAGTCAAGAGGAAACAGCTTTGCGGTACTTGAATAATGGAACTAGTGGGGGAATAGTGGAAGAGTGCTTTTTATATTTAAAAAGGTAAGGCAGACAAGCCAGAAAGGTCTTGAGATGAATTTGCTGTCGCTTTTCAGCGAGGACATTTGGGAATATAATGGAGACAATTGGACTGAAACATTTGAAAGGTCTTTGAGAGTATGTTATGCATTTTGGTATCTGCGATGCTTAATTAACGCTCCGTTGCAGAATTGTCGATCATCGACCACTTATGGCTGCAGTGTCAGAACTGTTGGAGTTGATGCAATTTTCGATTTCCGGCTATTCTGCATCTTCTCAGACAATCGCAAATAACTTCAGGGGAAACTGGACTTTTTGAAATTCCGGTGGTACGCTCCTATCGGTTTGTGTGGGTGGACCCGCTCTTGGCAGCTCCAATAGGAGTGTTCCCCCGGAAGTTTCAGAAGTTCAATTTCCCTGGAAGTCATTTGCGATGGTCTGAGTTCATTTAGTGAAAACCTTTTTGACACTTCTAGCTTTTCTTCCTTTCTCATAGCCACTATGTATTCGGAATGATGGACAAGGAACAGATGGGTGGCAACATCTGTAGAGCTTTCACATCTCAGCAGCTCCTTCTGCGGTCTTCCATTTTTTTCCTTCAAGTTTGTTGCCTAGACATTGTCCCACTTCGGTTGTTTATTAATCTTGACATCGATAGTTGATAATCTCTTGAGCTTGCTGAGCGTCGACCAAGATATTAACCACATTCATTCACGGCCACCGTTTCGGCGGGATCGCCTTCGTCGGAGCCTAGAAAGTCGAAAACATAAGTAAAACATTCTTCTGGACGCCAAGATCCTAACTGAAGACGAAAGTCAAATCGGTGAGAGTACAAGGGCAAATGGAGAATGGGTAACCAAGACTCACCTTCGATAACCTGTGATGATGTGTTTAGACCACCACATACTCATATACTCATATACTCGGTCTAACACATCATCACACGTTATCGAAGGTGAGTCTTGGTTACCCAGTCTCCCTTTGCCTTTGTACTCTCACCGATTCGACTTTTGTCTTGAGCTAGGATCTTGGCGTCTACGAGAATGTTTCACTTATGTTCGACTTTCTAGGCTCTGACGAAGGCGATCCCTCCGAAACGTTGGCCGTGAATAAATTATGGTTAATATCTTGGTCGACGCTCACCAAACACAAGCTATTATTAGCTGTCTGGACATTGCTTTCAATACGCCTATTCCACCAGATTCCACTAGGGCAGTCCACATGTACTTTGTTCAAATGTTCAGTGTAATTTGATGAATTTATTCCTACATATGAAAATTCAGTCAAGCTGAAATTTGATTGGTAATGCTTCATTCAAAGCGAGTAAGTTTTGGGATTGACAAAATAACATGACTAGATGCAGAAAACAAGCTCACCTTTTTCATAAGTGGTAGTTGGTAGTAGAAATTCTTTTTCAAATTTTCTAGGTCATGTTGGCATGGGAAAATAAGCAAAATTTTTCAATTTTTGTATGTAATAGTTGCTGAAAACACAACCATCCAAGCCGACGTCTTCAACAACAGTATCTTTTATCTTCTCATCTTTACTTATTCGATGGTTTTTAGGATTGGACTTTTGAAGAAGGAAGTATTCTAGCCCAGTTCGTACGTGAAGATGATAATTACTGCAGTGCTGTAATAAAAAAATCGAAGTTCAGAAATGAAATTTTCTGATCCACTATGCTAGACACGGACGATCAAATGGGCTTTCTCTCGGGGAAGAATTAAGTGATGTCTGATAGGGTCAACATCAATGCGCTAGACGGAAATAATCAAAAACAGCCACATGTAAGTCCAAAGACACTAACAATGGAAAAAACTAAATTAATCATTCATAAAAGAACATCAGTGTAATACTGTTTTGATTATAACAAGCTGGTACCAGACCGTTCACTTCCATCTTGAGCCGCAATTTTTAGAGATAGATTTGAGGACCAACAGCTCCCTCAACTAAGATTGTGCTTTCGAATGTATTTTTTTTACAGATCTTGTCAATTTTCATCATGCGTCGTCATAGTATGCTTGAATTTACAACGAAGCCGTTTCAATTCTACTACCTTATACAGCTCCGTCATTATCACGAAATTCAATTAACTTGGCCTTTTGGTTTTTAAACACTCTGATTCCAATTCCAAAACACATTGCGAAAAATCGAAGATCGAGAAAAGAATGGACTGATGCAGAAGTGGAATACTTGGCCCAATTACGCACTAGAACCTCCCTAATTATGTTAAAAACAATGTCAGACAAGAAAATGGACCGGTAAAGCCCGTTCGAGAACAGGTCAGTGTGTGGTTTTCAGCCCTGACTCATCGACCTTTGAAGGGTTCTATAATCGGGGAACCTGTGATCATCACACACAGCATGAGAGCGTTTCCAGCTGTAGTAACGACGGATAGCCACGATCCAGTTCCATGCTGTCGGCCACTGCTCGCTATGATTTCGTATCAACGACACTTAAACGCAGCGATTACTGCTGTCTTCTTCTATTTATTCGCTATTGGGGTACGTTTGCCTTTTTTTTAGCTCTCAATGCATTTTCTAAACACTGTCACATTGTTGAATAACTTCATTCATATGTTAAAATGATATAGGTTGAACCGAAAGTTCTGTCACTTCAAATTGGAAAAATTCGTAACTGTTTACTATGTGTGGACGATTTGCTTATAAAATATTTCACCAGAATGAAAAATTTATTCACTTTCAATAACACCTTGGCTGCTCTTTGACAACAAGGAAGTCCAATGATAAATTAGAAAATGAAAAGCTGCATTCGCCTGCTGCTTTTTTCTAACAGTTCCAAGTTTGCGCTATTCGAGCATTTCTCTGCAACTTTATGATTTTTGAGAAAATGAAAACGGCAAAAATAATTGTTTTTGCATTTCAGCATTTCAGTCTAAAATCATAACGTTGCAGGGAAATGCTCGATCAGCGAAAATGGCACTGATGGAAAAAAGCAACCTGTGAATACCATGGAAATCATACCCTCTTTTTTTCAAATTTTTCGATAGCGATTCAGATTTTTGACGAGTCATTTTTGAAAACCGAGAGTTAGAGTGCTTCACCTTTTCCTTTATCTCTCAATTCTCTTGTTATCAAAGAGCGGCAATGTTATTTGAGAGTCGATAAATTTTACTGCTAAATTTCATAAGCAAAACGTTTACAGAGGGAGCAGTTACGAATTTTTACAAAATCAAAGCGATAAAACTTTCGGTTCAACCTGAAACATACAAACAAAGAGAACTCCTGGCACTGATAACAAGTCATGTTTATGTTATCTTGTTCATAAAACTATAGCAATTTTACAATTTTTTCAATTACTTGAATTCTGCTTTTTATACTTATATTGTCGCAAATTCGCAGTCATCTGTGTTCATCCCACTGATCATCCAGTCTTCCTAAAATGATAGAATCCTCACTCTTCTCTGATTTGAAAAGGAGCCGTCTCAGAATTTTGATCTGCCTGCTCGATTCTTTGCACCTTGAATAAGAACAGAAAAAGCAATCACATTCTGAGGCCATTGAAATTTGATTCATAATCTGATTTTATTATATTCGATTAGTCAAAAGGTTACCAACCATCATCGACCTTTCGCAGAATCAAGGAGATCTCCCTTGCTTTGTATGAAATTCTTTATGATCTGCTCTGGGGCTATTTTGAGTAAAAAGTCCTTGTAAATAGTCTGGCCTAAAACATGTCGTTAAATATTCTTCTTCTTGTCTTCTGCTATTCTTCTTCTTGTTCTTGCTAGGGTATAGAATATTCTTTTTAGAATATCTTGAGGCAAAGTGAACTGTGGGTAGTTTTGCTAGTGAACGGACAAAATCATCAACCATATTTCATGAACTGAATTATTTTTTGCTCGTAATGTGCTTTGGTGTGCTATGATACAAAATTAATAGAAATGTTCTACATAAAATTGTAAGCAAGATGTAATCGCTAAGCCTGCATGGCCTTGAAGCTGCACGAACAAACTTGATCTTTTCCTTAACACTGCTTGACTGTGTAAATCACATAAGCTTCTCATGTTATTACAGCGCTTGGTTGAACACTTTTAGATCTTCTACTGTCACCTATCTAAATACGGCAAGCACATGTTGGCTAACAAGGGAAGGATATTTGGATGCCGCGGCCATTCCTAATGATTTGTATACCAAAAAATGCGCCTTTGAATGCAAATTCTGAATCTGTGCTCGAAATCTGCGAAACGATCTTTTGAAGAAAGTTATGAACTTTTTTCCTTGAAAATTTAGCCTACTTTTGGATAGTAAAAATCACCAAATTTGATCTAGCCTGCCGTTTGATGCTACTGAAAGAAATTTTAGACGTAGTAATATTTATTTAGACTATCTGCATCATACTCAGCATTTGGAAAGGAGAGAAAATTTTTTATTTATGATTTTGACCCTCCGCAGGAACGCAATTTTTTTAATGAAAAAAAATTATAACTCCATTCAGATTATCGTTTCGCAGATATGAAAGACAGTCTACGAACCAGCAATTAAAAGCGCATTTTTTGGTATACAAATCATTATGAATGGCTACGGCATCCAAGTATCCTTCCCCTGTAAGACAAGTCGTTTGCACGAGATGAAGGAATTATGCACTTCAAATGCAATAAGAACAGGGTGTATTAGAGCAGCTCTCATCAAAGGATGTCAGCTTTTGTTCACGAGACGATTTTAATGTTTTTCAAATATTGAGAAACAATTAAGATGTGAAATAATCTTCCATGAATCGGCGCAAGAGATGTTTTGCATAGTGTCTTGATCGAATTTGAATCAAAATTCTTGCATCTTACGTGGTGACTGTCAAACAAATCTGGTGATTCAGTTCAAACTGAGGACTCCAAAACTCAGTTTTAGTGCTGAGACTTTTGACGCTGTTGAGATAAGTCTTCGACGAACACCTGAAAGCATTTTTAGGTGCTCAATAACTAAATATTTAAAAAATACGAAATTCTAGTTGACTTAAGGACTAGTTCCGGTTATACAAGGCTAGATAGCCGAAGGGACCAAGTGATTACTTATCTTCTTATCCTTATGCTTTTTTGTCCTTGATTTCCCTTATAAAATTAGCCAGATCTGGGAACTTATTGTAAGCCTGTACATCATCATCTTGAGTTTTTGCTATTATTTTTGCATGAGCGAACTTTGGAAAAAATTATAATTGTCATTTTTTACAGTCATGCGAGAATCACATTCCATCCCTGAACGAAATTTCTCGAATAGATGATCCTGTTCTAAAAGAGGTGTTCAAATCGTCAGGATTGGATAAGCAAGGCACTGGCTCGCCGGTTGAAGAGCGGCCGCAACTGCCGGAATCTGGTCCACCACAAGTGAGGGTCGAACCTTATTATGGTAAGTCATCAAAAACTGATTTTGAAAAATTTGAAAGACTTGAATCTTGCTTAATCGGCTGCAAGTATTGAAATGCACTTCAAAGTAATTCGTACATATACTTCTGCCAACATTTTGGAAGCGCATAACACTTAACCTTATTGTATGACTCATCTTACTGTGACGGAAAAGCCAGCTACTCGTTGTGCAACAGGTTTTAGTTACAACCTGGCTTTTCCTTTGTGTGCATCCGTTTATGCCTATGAATGACCAAAACCAGTATCGCTGCTTCTTCGTTGATGACACATACATATCATAAAGATTAACAATAAGGTGAACTTTTTTAAATCAAAAACCTCTATGGCAGGCTCAAAGCAAAGCCACTCAATGTGGGAACCTTGTCACAAGCAGCTATTTTCACATTTTTGGCCTTGTCTTATTCGGCACTGTATAACGAGGGGACCTGAGCGGAATGAAAAGTGGAAGAAAGTTAGCTCAATACTTTTAAGTCTTCTAAGTGAGATATGTTGGATTCGAAATTTTTTTGAATAATAAGAAATCACACAGAAGAAAAGTACAAAGAACCTTTTTGAACAAGTTCCTGCTGCTAAGAGCACTTAACGCAACATTTCCGACCTCGCTCCATTCTTTTTTGTCTTTCGCATTCCTGCTCTTCATGTCTGCGCAGACGAAAAACCTAGGGAGTGAGAGATGCTTTGACATGCCTCAAGAACAACCTCATAACGATAAAAGAAAAGCTAGATTAGCCACACGAACTTATGCGCGTTATCGAAAAAAGCCTCTATATCCAGGCAAAATGATTCACGTTGTTCAGAGAAATTCTTAGTCATTTTTGATATAATTTACAAAAAGCGACAATTCTGCAAATATCGGGTGTCCAAAAATGCATTGGATGTATGTTCTTCAGTAACTCTCTTTTGGGAAGAGCTTTTGCGGCCGTTTAAATAGCATGTAGCTGCTAGTATGCTTACCACTAGATCTACAGTGTAAAGCGAATCATTGATGTTCGTCCATTATTATGGAGCTACAGTAGGAACTTGCATATAGCGCCACTGTAAATAGACAAGATAAGCGCAACAAAAGAATTTTGAAAAAATGAAGACTACACCAGTCTTTCTACTGCTTTTACTGCTTAATTTTTATTTTCGAACGGCATGATCGCATTTTTGAAGAAGATCTCGATGACAGCTTTACGGTATATTAACCTACCTCATAGAGAAGAATTATGGTAAAGTAAAACTTCGTATCTAGGTTCACTTTGGTACCGCTTCAAAATATGGGCTTTGCTTCTAACAATAGGTCGTAGAATTTGTAGACTTTCAGGAGAGTAAAGGTTACATGGGATAACGTTACAAATGAGACAGAAGAATTGAATTACAGCGAAGGAGGCTACAATTAGACATTTTTTGGAGTGTCCCAAAAGTATGTACGCATTTTTCGATGCATAACCCTCCTTCCCTACAGTCTTTTACAGATCTCCATGTAATATTCGTAGAGCTGGTCTTAGCTAAGATTTGCAATGCAGAATGAATCAGAGTTGTTTAGGATTACGGTAGAGACTTCGAAGGATATTGTGAGCCTTGAAGGCTAAATTTTGCCTCAAAAAAGTCTCTGAGAAGTCAAAAAAATAATCCAATAGTAGCTGATGTCGAATTCAAAAACCTGCATTCTTCTTCAAGATTGCTTGATGATTGATTTTCTGCATTTGAAGTTTTGTCTAGACAAAATTTCCTTCTTTCTAACTCAAGATCAGCTCTTAGAGTCATTCGCTATGCTAAAGTAACAGAGAGAAAGCTTGATTTGTTCGTACTGTAAAATCAAATTGAATTCAGCTTTGCGGGTACCTATAGTAGGTTTTGGCAGGCCTCAAGGCAGGAGGGTCAATCAGGCAGCGTGTAGGCCATATAACACCGCTCATAACCAGTCAAAAAAGTCACAGTACTCCGCGGAAATCATCGAAATTCGCGTCGCATTTTTAGGTCTTGGTCTAGAGAGGATGGATTTGCAATCCAATGACACCTTTCGACTCAGCTCGGCGAGGTGCATCTTTCAATGTATAGAAGTGCCTATTTGCGAACTGTAGACTGCCAGATTTCTAGATTTTTGCTTACAGTAAGTCACTTAGAGTGCATTGAATAATCACATGAGTAGCCTTCCGTAATTAAAATCCTCAGAAGAGTCGTGAGATTCGACCGCTTACCGTGCGCAAAACTTATCTACGAGCACCTCTGTATATCAAAAGATGCGCCTTGCCTAGAGTTGAGCCGTATGTCGCCCTTGAATTGGAAATTCGTCTGTTTTACAATATAGGGGATACGACGCGGAATTAGGTAAACCCCTTCGAAGTGCGGCAACATTTTTTTGACTAGTTAAACGGTATTGCAACTTGAACATAGGTTAACAGATTTTGATAATGATTGAGATTTCGATTGAAACTGGAATTATCGCGTAATTTCCTTTCTAGGTGAGATCCCAATCGAGCACAACAACAATCAACAACCTCTCGGTGTCGTTCCTCCACGTCGACAACGGCCCGATGCCGTTGGCATGGCAGTTCAAACCGGAGCTAATGCCTTTGCATCCGGTGCTGATGCCCTGTACAGGTGCTTAACTTATGCTTGTTATCAAGTGTCGTAAGGGCTGATATCGGGATTATCTCGAGACAATCTCGCTTATACGGTTCTACCTTAATTAATGGCGAAAATAGCACAGTTTCAGGGGAGGAACCAGTGTTGCACGAGCGTTCGGCTTCAATCCTCAAGCCTACGAAGCTCCATTGTTCAGCGCCGCCACTCAGCTTTTGGGGAAGAAGTGAAGTGTTTCGACTCTGTTTCTGTTGATGTTCTCTGTACATATGTCTCCTGTTCATTCTCTTTGGATAAGTAAATTTTCTTGCTTATGCAGAAGTCTATTAATGATTTGTGATAATGGATCCCTTCGATAAAGGGAAATTCTCTTCACAGAAATTGATAATTATATTGTAACAACAACGTTATACGATAAGGGGGCGAGTACGAAGCTAGGTATAAAATCCTTCTGCTCTGTGGAGGACCAGATTATGTTGCTAGTTTTGCCAAGAGGAATCATTGGAAAAATTCACTCAGATATGTTGTTGCTACACAACGGAAGTGTCTCACCAAACTTAAGGTAACGCGATTCACCACATATTCCGTTAGAGAGTCCCTTAAATAGCCCAAGGCCCAATTCCGAGTCCTCTCGTGGCCAAAGCGGCCTGCAGAGGGCGACTTGTCTCGCGCCAGCCGAGTCGCAGTTTCCCTATTCGGGATTCAACACTCTCTTCAGGCGATGCGTCCTTGCTGACGTATCCGCAATTAGGGCGTGAGTTAGAGTAGGAAAACACATCTCGTCCAATTTGTCCAAGCCTTCGAAGAAACGGTATTTTCGGTAACTTCATGCGATTTGAACCCGCGTAAAGTTAGACACTTATAAAGGCTTCTATCATGCAAAAATCACACATCCAAAATTTGGTGAGGCACTATCTACTGTAGCCAATCATGTTCTTTTGACAAACGCAAATATTGAACTTTAAAACATTTCTGTGCAGACAGATTCCTAGAAAACTCCAGCCAGAATTCATTCTTGTGCTAAATAGACCCTACAGTACGGAAAATAGGTGATTATTAGGGTGTCCTATAATATTGTTACCGTTTTATTGCAAGCGTCGTCTCTTGTGTTTTCCCTTCAATTGATGTGGCTTGAGTAATCATTCGACAGGGCAAAGGAAGCTCTATAAGATGGCATCGAAGAATCCGCTTAAATTGCACCTCACCGGAAGCTTTGAGCTGAAATCTGGTAGCACTCGAAAACGAACTTCTCCTTCAAAAATCGTATCTCCTCCAAGAATGTCTTGAAAATTGCCCATTTTATGCTTGATACATCGGATATTCAATTGTGCTATTTCTGACTTTTTCCATGGCTAGAAATAAAGAAAAAATGAATGGGGTAAAATGCCAAACTCCACCCCTGGACATCCTGAGCTCCTCCCACTCACGTGATCATATAGCTGATGCATACAGAAATACGACCATGTATTTGTAAACTTTGGAGGCATCCCGTTCTCGAGAAGCTGATGTTGAGAGCAAAAACGGTAAAAAAATCAAGGACATCAATAGAAGAAAGTAAATAGAAACTACAGTACTTCTATTAAATTCAGTAGTGTGTAATACCTTGATTTTCAATGAACACTTTTGGCGAGCTCACAGTTTGCTCTGATTCTCGCGAATTCCTTCTAAAATCATTCTCCATGCTCCTCCTTTGTGTACAGCTGCAAAAGCTCACTCAGAACTTTGCGCAGGATTTTTGTAGATTAAGTTGGAATGCATCTCTAATCTTCTGATCTTGTGAGATACCCCTAGTGGCGATAAATGTGGGAAAAATCGTGATATCTCCTACAGCACAGTCTTAACTGATATGTACAGGAAAAGATTAGATCATAGACGGGTTACTTGCTGATATCGCAATAACGAAAGATGAGCGTCATTGCTGCGTGGAAAGTTTCCTCAATTATCTATGTAGCGAGGATAAATTAGAACGAATCATTTGACAGGAGAAAATCACTGCAATTTCGCTGCGAAATTTCTCTCACAGCCTTTATAATCTTCGATGAACAATTTCCTCAGGCCAGTCAAATAATTTATAATATCAAGACCCCTGTGACAAGTATCGAACTAACTATGGTGTTCTAAAACTTCACCACTGCTAAGGTGGCATGTAATAGAACTTTATTTCTTTTATGCACTTGTCTGGGGCACATAGCAATGCTAGCATGTCTCAACGAGTTGCAACGTTCTTCTTCGTGCTTTGAAAACTCATTCAGAAACCTTTATCAAGGAGACAAGCACATTTCTTAATGATATGAAAATCGGGCAAAACTTTGCAATTTATTCCAGATGCTTCAGTCTCTGCTGTTCAAACTTGTTCTCTACCAGTATAGTCTTTCAGTTCTCTACTGCGCAGCTTGTGCTATCTCAAGATTCTTCATCGTTAGGTGCACTGTAATATTTTGTCCTTGTTTAATGCTGGATATCTTATGACATGCGTCCTTTTTCAATTTGAGTCTCTATGCAGCTTGTTCTGATTTATTAATTTAGCTAGAGAGTTTATCGTTTTGAATTTTCATTGAAAGTTACCGCTGCCATAAGTTCACCACGGCTTGAGTTAAACTATTCCATAGGTGAGAAAGTGTCACCTTTGAGACCTTTGTTAAGCGTCCCCTTAGACAATCGCCAGTGAACTGGCATTGAAAAATGGCGCTGCTCCGGCACTCGACTGGCAAAATTCTAGAAGAAAGCTTTTGTGAGGCCTGAGTTTGTGTCAGATCGGTGTGTCAGATCACACTCGTGTCAAGCGCAAACAGGGCGTTGGAACATCGCTGACACGGCAGTGACACTGCGCCGGAGTGTCGACACACAAGAACTTTTGAAACGTTCAAAAATTGGCAGGGACTATTTTACGATCGGCCCTCAAAAAGAGGTAAAACGGTTATGGACGACATCTAGCATGAAGTAAGTGCTGAAGCTCTGCATTACAGATGAAGAAGAAGATCCAAAAGCCGAAATGGCTGAGGTGGTTTTGGTTGGACAAAAATAGCATCTTATATATAAAGCTGAATGTTTGTTTGTCTGTCTGTCTGTATGTATGTATGTCTGTCTGTACGTATGTTCCGAATAGCAAATTCCATTTCTGAACCGATCCGGACCAAACTTGGCACACATACACTACGGGCCTCGGCGGGTGTCATAGGCTACTTTTCGTCATCGATCGATAACGAAAAGTGGACTGTGACGCCCGCCGGGGCCCGAAGTGTATGTGTGCCAAGTTTGGTCCGGATCGGTTTAGAAATGGAATTTTCTATTCGGAACATACGGCGGAGCCGGGTAAGCCAGTAAGTAGATTATAAGCTTAACTGAGTTGACTTTTCAAATGGAAAAATTCGAACCATTTATACACCTTTAATTTTATTATACTGCCTATTTTATTTGATCAGGTCAAATATCATAGTGTCTTAACCGCGTAAACTTAAATGCTTGGCGCGCAGATACCTTTCATACTCCATTTTGGAAAAATCAGAGACAAAATCTTATATTGTTTCTTTGTTGATAGTTAAGCTTGCAGTTGTTTGAATCTCTATGATCCCTATATTTTGAATGTCATTGTTTGATTGTAAATAATTTTGCAGAGTTTTCGTAATAGCTTTTTCCTAAATTCAAACACAATATTTTTCCACGTTTTTTCTTTCTATAAAATAAGATTCACTGTGTAACAACGTCCTTCCGTAAGTTCTCATACTTTTTTCATGTGGTTTGAGTCAGGTGATCGATTAATATGTCAAAATCTTAGGCAAACTGCTAGAATGGTTAATGAGACGGCCCCTGAAAATTTGTAGAAAAATTCCTACATGAAAGTGCGTGGTGATTGTTTGGAGTAGCTTTCCAACTCCACAATTCCGTAATTTTCTTTCAAATTCTTGATGACCATTCTAGCTGCAATGTCTTTGATAGAAGTCGCATATTGAGAGCCCGAATGTTAGATACAATTTTGCGGTTCCCAATTCATTATTCTGGTAAGTTCGGAGGTTTAGCCTGAGAAATTTGTCCTTGTACAGAAAAATTTTCGAGCATCATACCAGATGTTTGATTTCTTAATGAGTAGTCAGGAGATTCTCTTCTGAATGTCTTTGCCATTAATTTCTGTGTTATCAAGTGCTTTTGCGTAGGTTTAACGGGGAAGCTGCTGCTCATTCAGCGACTCCAAGGCGAACGACGTACTCTCCCTCTTTTTCTTCTTTGTGTAGTAATTATTTGAGTGTATGTGTCTGTGAATTGTGACGAAGCAAATACCACGTATCTCATGTCAGATGAGATTACACTTCCGCTCAGAGTCATCGAGGGTCATGCGTTTTGTTGTGCGGATGCCAGTGGTGCGAACATTAAACTGCACTAGTCACATGGTGGAAAAATGTGATTGCGAATCATCTTGTAAGATCTTTGGCATATGCCAAAATTAGGCAGTAGGGGTCTTTTGCAAAAATTTGAAAGGATGAGCTGTGGACTTACAGGTGCTTCACATGTTCTTTGTCTAGGAATGAAATAAATTATATGAGGATAAATTCCTTTTTCTTTCATATAATCTTCTAAGTGCCAGTACACTTGTGAAAAGTTACACGCTCTATAAATCGAATTTCCTTTCAAAGATTTGTAATAATACCTTGTCGAGACTACCATAGAACTACCGCAATCGGCAAGATCTGACAATCTACTGACTGGCACCATCACTGCCCTGTACCCCTGAATCTTTCCTAATATCTTAAAATTTGCTGTCAGGCTATTATCTGTAAGAGTCCACAAATGGCCCGAAGTGGCAGAAATTGATAAAGGCTTGAATTTGTTTGGAATCGAGCAATGGAATATTGTTTGGAAAAATACGTGCAAAGTTTTTAAACTCAACCTTGAATTAGCTAAATTCTGAATTTTTAAGAACATCCTACAGATAGCACTGGCGCTTCGGAATTTTGAGAATCGTCCAAAAAAGTTTTGCGTGAGAGGAGTGCATCAGAAAGTTTTTCGAAGAAAGGGAACCGCTACGTTCTTCGAAGATTTTTTGGGGCTTCTCAAATTTGCGCGATTCCGCTAGTGGATTCGTATCCGAAAGATTTTTCTTACAAAGCCATGTCTCAAGAAAATTGAAAAACTATTAGGTTATCTCATGAGTTTCACTCTTTACCGCGAAAAGTCATACATTTCTTAATTCTAATTGAGATGCAGGCTACGATACGACGAAGCAAAGCAAGCTCTG